GACAGTGCATGGGGGGCTTGTTACTCCACACCAGATGGTCGCGTTGGTTCACTTTCAACGAGATTACCTCGGGCTCTTGTTGCCTCCTCCAACACGCTTCGCGAACTCGCCGGAATTCTCTGGGCCCTCTACGCTTTCGCCGTCGAGGTTCAGCGTTCGCACATCCTTCTGCGTAGCGACAGTCAGGCAGCCTATTATATCCTAAGGAAGGGGGGTTCTCGTCGCATCGAGCTGACCGCCATATGCCGAGCCATTATTCAGCTTTGCGTGAGCCACAAGATTCGTCTCACAGCCCAATGGATCCCTCGCGAGCTAAATACTGAGGCGGATACACTGTCGAAAATAGAGCTCCATGACGACTACTCTCTCGCACGGCCTTGGTTCCTCCTGCTCGAGAGACGTTGGGGCCCCCACTCCATCGACCTGTTCGCCTCACCTGCTAATACGCAGTTAGCCCGTTATTGCTCTCTGGAGTATACTCGGGCGGCTCTCGCGCAGGACGCCTTCTCCATTAGTTGGGAGGGGGAAAATTGCTACGCATTTCCCCCGCCACCGCTCATTCCTGCGGTTCTCGCCCATGCCCGCCGCACCAACACCTCCCTCACCCTAGTGATCCCTCGCATTTTGGTGGCCACTGGTGCACCCAGATAATTGGGCTGATCTTGTCGTCGATTCACTTAGCCTTACCTCCGGATCCGATTGTCTGTGTGTCGGAAGTGATTCAGGGGCTTTTAGTGGGGCGGGTCTTCCAAACTCTCCTATGTATGCCCTTCGTGTTATTTTTACTAATAATAATTAATGCCCTCCGTTGCGCAGGTTCTAAGCTCGGTCCCTTGCTCTTGGACCTATTAACACTTACAGTCGATCTTCGCGCGCAGTCTATCATTCGCACGTATGAGCCATACTGGCGGCAATATCGGGCGTTCTGTACCACGCACGCCCTTCCTTTTCTTCCTGCGAGCGATTTGACCTCTGCGCTATTCCTACTAAGGTCGATCCGCAATGGCGCCCCGATCTCGACCGTGCGTTCGGCATGTTCCGCCATTTCGTGTGCGCATTGGCTTGTTGGCGAACCCTCTCCCATTCGGGGGCCCCTCTCCACCCAAGTAAAGGAATATGCATAACGTCATTGCGGACGGCCTTCCAAGGCCAAGGAACCTGTCCCTCCGGAAAAAATCTACGACATCTGCGACAGTTATTTCTCGTCGTCCGACCCTGCCACATTTCAGCGAGGGCTCATTCCCCTCCTCATGTTTTCGGCATTCTTACGCTTCTCCGACTTGATTTCCCTTCAGTGGCACCATATTGAGTTCGACAGGGACTGCATGTGGCTGTTTATTCCACGCTCCAAGACCGACCAAGCCGGTAGCGGTGCTTGGGTCCTAGTGGCGGCATCTTCTGGTCGCCACTGCCCTGTGGCGCGTGTCCAAAAATTTCTATTCCTCGCGGGCTATTCTCAAGAGACGATTGGCCCCCTTATCCGGCTGTTCCGGCCAGGAGCTAAGGCTTCCTCCTCCGATCGCTCCCCTTCATATGCGGCCGTGCGAGCCTGGTGACGAGAAGGCTTTTCTCGTGTCGGCCTTAACCCAGATCTACTCGGCACCCATTCGTTTCGCAAATCGGCAGCAACCGTGGCCGTCGACGTTGGAGTACCGGATCGACTCTTCAAAGCGCTTGGTCGATGGCGCAGCGATATGGCCAAGGAATTATACGTCTCACAGCTCGATCGCGAGCTTGTTGATGCTTCTCGCGCACTTCAGGACCCCCTTCGATCGAGCCCGACCGATCGATATTTGACCACGCTTGAGAGGAGACGTCGCCGACCACTTCCGTGATGTCTCGTTCGACCTATGACGACTGCACTGCACACTCCTTCGAGAGTCGTGTCACAATATGAATAATTTTTGTAACACAAAAATTTACAGATTGTGATGCGACTTGAAGAGGGGTTTGCTGTAAAGGAGACATGCTCCTTTACATTTCGGCAGGTCCAAGGACCTGCCACCTAGTCTCATTCGCTACTTTCACTCTCTCTTGCTCCCACCCTCCACTCCCCTTTCTAGCTGATCGCTCGTGCATCGATACTGTGTTTACCACATGTATTCATTGTTACCGAGTGTGCTGTATCTTTGAGTTGTGAAATGCTATAACGACTGCCCTATGACGACTGCACTGCACACTCCTTCGAGAGTCTTGTCACAATGTGTGCACTAGGAAGGTTGGGAGTACAAGTACAAAACTCTAACAAACTGTACCCCCTATAACCAAACCCACTGTAGCCTACACAACTACAGCATATGATGTTTAACACAAAGCCCCGCGACAAGCGCTTACAGGCCGCTACAGCAAGGAATGGCGTGCAGCGATGGATGCCGAAGTCGCCACGCTCGAATGACTAGCAAACTTCCGCTACTACACTCTCGTACGACCAATCTGTGACGATCCTATAAGTCTGTCATTTCAGATCGTAACACTCCTAGCTAGGGTTTATACTAAGCCTAGGTAGCTCTGTACTTTGAGACAATTGTATAGAACAACAAAATGACAGCTATTCTCACCCTTTAGATAGAATTCTCCCCACCCCCTCTACCCCACCCTCTCCCCCATCCGCCCACACACGGGATAAGGTCCATGGCATTTCACAAACAAAAGGGGCAATTCTGATTATAAGCCCCACTTCATTTTGTAGTTGGTGGGCTGAACAATGCCCTGCAAATGTTTAAGACTAAACTTGTATGAATATGAACAAGTTGCTATATAAATTCATTGCACTCCTTTTATTTGTGCGGTTCTTTAGGGCTAGGAGTGGAATAATGGAAGGCTTGGCGACTTATTGTTTAAGAACAACTTGACATACCAGGAAGTCACCACCAACTGGTTACCCTATCATCGGCTGAAGCTGAGTTCATCGCCGTGACAGCAGCAGTTCGTGAAAGGCTCTACGTGCAGTAACTCCTGCAAGAGGCAAAAATTCCAACCTCGCCAACCTTTTACCTGCACCACGACAACCAATGCGCGATCCGAATAACGAACAAGCCTGGATTCGTCAACCGCACCAAACACATCGCGTTGCGGTACTTCTTCATCAAGGGCGAAGTTGACAAGGGCAAGGTTGACCTAACCTACCGCCCGACGGGTGACATCACAGCTCACTTCCTCACGAAGCGACTGCCACGCCAGCAGTACCAGCACTGCTCCGAACTCAGGGGAGTGGTCAAGCGAGTCAAAACTTGCTACGGCGAGGAATGAAGTGGGGTGTTATGAATAGTGAAATGGGAAACCGCACTGTGCATTCTTGCTTGTAGCAAGAACGGAAAACACATAAATGAGTAAGAATGCGAGAGATCGAAGCGATGCGAACAGTTGGAAAGTATCTGGATCGTCAGAGCAGACAACATCGGGCAGCTGCAGGAGCAAGAAAAAAAGGCAGGAACAGTTTCGTAACTGTACGCGCCGCACGGTTGAGTTTGAATCTGAATAAGGGAATGTACCCCTTAGAGTACATGGCTAGCTAGGACGATTGGTATTCCCTTATAGTCATATTTATACGATTGTGTTTGCATGCGTTAATTATCTCAATCATTTTACATTCACTCTGATTTGAGGTCAAGGGCCCACCACTACCACACACTCTGTGAGCACCTTTTCCTAGTTACGATCAATCTTTTGATCTCAGCACAAAGCCCCAGAAACGTGTGAGACTAAATGAATTTGAACAAGTTTCTATATGAGTTCACTACACTCTGTTTCTCTTTGCGCTGTATCGAGTCGGGTGCACGAACGCGTTCAACCAAATCCCTTAGGTTCTGTAAGGACGCGTTACCTCTTTCTTGGGGAGAATCTTACTATCGATGCGTCAGGTGTACAGTGCCTCCGCGATTTGGCGAAGTGCAAGGTTTCCAGGTTTCGGGAAAAGTCGCGAATTACCAAGAAGGTGTCACCCAGGGCTCCCAATCAATGTGCCAAAAGTCGGTGATCGATAGTCCAGTCACGGCGATTGTTCAAATTTGCCCGAGGATTTCTCGATCTTGTCGCCTGTGGCTCAGTGGAGCACCGCGATCGAAGATTGCGTTTCAGCACACTGATGTGCACACCGATCGTGGCGGGATCGGTGCTCAGACGATTCTGCCTCGATCCTGCCATTTTGGAAAGAGGCAACGCGTCCTAAGACCAATAAGACCAATAATAAGACCAACGCGTCCTTCCATTTTGTTGAAGTGGAATATTGGAAGACCAATAAGTCACCACCAATAAGTCGTAATTCAGGGCGGCGACGCATTCGTTTACAATCCATAATTCAGTATTCCGCTCTTCACCTCGTCGCATGCAACATTCTGCGATCAACGAGAACGCGTTCCGGCGACGAGCAACAGTTCTAAAAGTTCGTACTTTGGACGGAGCCGCTGCTGCGGCAGGAATCGGCAGGAATCTATTACACTGCGTGCGGGGAATCGCTTTTGAGAATTCATAAAAGCGAGTCTCAACCATGACCGCGTTCCTTGCGATTTTCGCTTCGTCGTCGCCAGGTTGGCGCGACTTGGCGAAACCGCCGCGCTGGGACCTTCCGTCGCGACCTGGAACGCGTTCGTTTACCGTGGCTTCAGGCTCGGATATTCCGAGGCGCAACGAGAGGTTTGGGGGGTGTGACGCGATGCGAGTGATGGGTGAGGCGAGGTTTGAGAGTCGAGCAGATAGAAAAGGAGACGAGCAAGCAGCGACAGCAGAGTCCATCGCAGCCGCTTCATTACGAAGGTCTCCTTTCGCACTAGTGCGCCGTCGGTTCTAAACCCACCGTCGCCGCGCCTCTAGTACCTCACACTCCACCTCCCTTCCTGCCGTCCCCGTCCCTCTCTCGACGTATAGCGCCCGTGGTTGCGTCTACTGCTGGTTCAGCCTCCCTCGACACTTAAACACCGTGTTCGTTCCCGCCTGCTGCACCACCGTGTTCGTTCCCGCCTGCTGCGCGCCGCCTGATGGGTACTCCGGCGAAAGTGCGGAAGATGGGGAGTGCGACGGTCGTGCTTAGCGTCTTCCTCATCGCGCTCTTCATTGGTACGCCTTCCCCCTCTGCGCCTCAACCCCGCGGCTTCTGCTCTTCGCCTCCCACGCTTGACAATCACGCCTTGCACTCTCCATTCACGCCTGTCAATCACGCCTTGCATTATCGGCCCCTACTGTAACAACCAATGCGTTACACCTGCTCTGCGTCTTTGCCAATGCGCCTCGCCACTGCACCTCCTTACGCCCTGCAATCTCTGAGCGCTTACTACACCTTTTGAGGCTTTCACTGCACGGCAGTCAGTTCACAACCAAAAGGCGAGTGCTCACATTCTCTGGCCGTTGCCTCATGAATGTAACAAGCCCACCTTCGGTTGTTCGTGTCTTCTGTGCCCCCCTCTTCTGTGCCCCTTGCCCCCCTCGCAGCTAGTCAGTTGCAGTTCTCCCTCGCAGGCCGTGCCATCCCTGGCAGCCCTGGTAGCAAGGGCAACGAGGCAGCAAAGAACGGCAAGGGCAGCCGCAAGGGCAGCGAGGCAGCAAACAATGGCAAGGGCAGCGATGCTGCAAATAATGGAAAGGGCAGCGAGGAACCAAATAATGGCATGGGCAGCAATGCTGCAAAGAATGTCAAGGGCATCGGCAAGGGCATCGATGCAGCAAAGAACGGCAAGGGCAGCGAGGCAACAAACAATGGCAAGGGCAGCGAGGCAACAAACAATGGCAAGGGCAGCGGCAAGGGCAACGGCGTGAGCATCGTCAAGGGCAGCGGCAAGGGCAACGGCGTGAGCATCGTCAAGGGCATCGGCAAGGGCATCAGCAAGGGCATCGGCAAGGGCATCGATGCAGCAAAGAACGTCAAGGGCAGTGAGGCAACAAACAATGGCAAGGGCAGCGAGGCAACAAACAATGGCAAGGGCAGCGGCAAGGGCAGCGGCAAGGGCAGCGGCGTTGGCAACAGCAAGGCCATCCACAAGGGCATCGGCAGGGGTAATGGCAAGGGCTCTGTGTCCCCAGTCAACCCAGGCACCTCTGAGACCACAGTCAACCTAGACACCCCTGTGAGCCAAGTCAACGCAGACACCTCTGAGACCACAGTCAACGCAGACACCTCTGAGACCACTGTCAACGCAGACACCTCTGAGACCACAGTCAACGCAGACACCTCTGAGACCACAGTCAACGCAGACACCTCTGAGACCACAGTCAACGCAGACACCTCTGAGACCGCAGTCAACCCAGACACCCCTGAGACCCCAGTCAACCCAGGCACCCCTGAGACCCCGGTCAAGCCAGACACCCCTGAGACCCCAGTCAACCCAGACACCCCTGAGTCCCCAGTCAACCCAGACACCCCTCTGACCCCAGTCAACCCAGACACCCGTGAGACCCCAGTCAACCCAGACACCCGTAAGACCCCAGTCAACCCAGAAACCCCTGAGACCCCAGTCAGCCCAGTCGCCCCTGAGACCCCAGTCAACCCAGTCGCCCCTCTGACCCCAGTCAACCCAGACACCCCTGAGACCCCAGTCAACCCAGACACCCGTAAGACCCCAGTCAACCCAGAAACCCCTGAGACCCCAGTCAACCCAGACACCCCTGAGACCCCAGTCAACCCAGACACCCCTCTGACTCCAGTCAACCCAGACACCCGTGAGACCCCGGTCAACCCAGACACCCGTAAGACCCCAGTCAACCCAGAAACCCCTGAGACCCCAGTCAACCCAGACACCCCTGAGACCCCAGTCAACCCAGACACCCCTGAGACCCCAGTCAACCCAGACACCCCTGAGACCCCAGTCAACCCAGACACCCCTGAGACCCCAGTCAACCCAGACACCCCTCTGACTCCAGTCAACCCAGACACCCCTGAGACCCCAGTCAACCCAGACACTCCTGAGACAGTCAACCCAGACACCCCTGAGACCCCAGTCAACCCAGACACCCCTGAGACCCCAGTCAACCCAGACACCCCTGAGACCCCAGTCAACCCAGACACCCCTGAGACCCCAGTCAACCCAGACACCCCTGAGACCCCAGTCAACCCAGACACCCCTGAGACCACAGTCAACCCAGACACCCCTGAGACCCCAGTCAACCCAGACACCCCTCTGACTCCAGTCAACCCAGACACCCTTGAGACCCCAGTCAACCCAGACACCCGTAAGACCCCAGTCAACCCAGAAACCCCTGAGACCCCAGTCAACCCAGACACCCCTGAGACCCCAGTCAACTCAGACGCCCCTCTGACCCCAGTCAACCCAAACACCCATGAGACCCCAGTCAACCCAGACACCCTTGAGACCCCAGTCAACTCAGACGCCCCTCTGACCCCAGTCACCCCTGTCATCCCAAAGGAGTAATTCCTTTGGAAAGAGATGGCTTACGGGTGGAGAAAATGGGAGAGTGTCTGGTCTTGTGGAGAAGATGAGCTGGATGGCAAGCAAAGGAGCAGTGCTGCCTGTCGGGTCAGCTGTACAACAGCAGTCTCTTTCTCTTGAAGTTGTCACAGCAGTCTCTTTCTCTTGAAGTTGTCAGCAGTCTCTTTCTCTTGAAGTTGTCACGTGTTACCGTATGTGTGCCCTTGGTTGCCCTCTGTTTTGTTTGTACTAATGCACTAGCATAGCTCTGTGTGCCTTTTTCTTGAGATCTCAATGTATATCCTATGTTTGAACTCCGATTTTTCAAGCTCTCTAAAAGACAGTGCACCACATTGTTATAGAAAGCTGATGCACCAAGGCCAAATTACAGATGTTCCATTATATTACACCTTGCATCAATGGGTAGAGGGTGGGTGGGTGAATCAATGAGTGGTATAAATTCTATTTGTAAAACCATACAAGGTAGTAATAGGCTTCTTTGGAACGGCACACCCGTCGTAATGCGGATGGAGATGCCTGCGTTGCCATGCACACTGCGCTTCTTTTCTATGCTTCTTCTAAAAGCCTACCTGGGGTTATATCCGGGGGAAGACAATATTCGAGTCACGCCCAGTAAGTGGCCACATACCAGCACAAGTCCTTGTCGCATGTTTCTTCCATACCCTACACTTCCTCATACAAGTAATTCCTCCAAAGCAACCCCTGTGCACCGCATTCAGCTCGCATTTTTTGCGTGTAACAAAACCAAGTGCGGTAAAGTAGCTTGAACCAAGGAGAACCAACGAGGCCACGTTCATGTTCCTACCAAAGCATTGAATTATGGTCACAAGACGACAAGTGGTGGCGTGCAATCAGATGCGGAAGCGAGTCTATGCGAGAATGGAGCGAGCGTGGAGGGGTGTGTGGGCGTGCAGGGGAGCTGATGGCTGTGCGACTGAGGTGGTGCTGCTGGGAGGGCATGAGTCCAGAAGATGCAACACCTGATGGTTGGAAGAAGGGTAGGGGTGGTGGTTGGAGAGGGGGGGGTTACGTTTCGTCAGCATCATGGAAGGTTGTGTGCGATCGGTTGTATGTGTGACCGAGGTGGTGCTGCTGGGAGGGCACGAGTCCAACAGATGCAAGTGATGGTTGGTATGGGGGGGGGAGTGGTGATGGTTGGATGATGGAAGATTGTGTGAGGTTCGTTGTGCGACCGAGGTGGTGGTGCTGGGAGGGCATCAGTCCAGTATATGCAACACCTGATGGTTGGAACAAGGGGTGGTGGTTGGTAGGGGGGTGATGATTGGAAGGTTGTGGTGATTGGAAGGGGGGTGGCGCCAGCAGCATGGATGTTCGTGTGAGAGAGGGTGGAGCAAAGGACGCGCACGTTGTGATGAGGGGAGGAGACGTGGAGGGTGCGAAGGAGGGAGAAGGAGAGGTAAGAAGGGAGGTAAGGAAAGAAAACTTCAAAAGGGAGAGCGAGAGTTCAGGGAGTTCATAATCCGGTCCAAGTCATCGAGGATAGAGCAAGAGGGAGAGGGTCATACCTGCAGCATGGAGGGTCATACCTGCAGCATGGAGGGTCATACCTGCAGCATGGAGGGTCGCTGGGAGGGGTCCTTGTGCGTGCAGAGCAGGGCGGTGCGGGCGAGCAGGGCGAACTGGTGCGGGTGGTACCTGTCCTGCAGGGCTGGGTCCGCCACCTCGTGCAGCCTGCCCGCTTCTATCAGTGGCCGTGCCTGGTAGGGAGGGCGGGGAGGGGCGGAGCAATGGGGGACGGAAGAGTGAGCAGGGCGAACTGGTGCGGGTGGTACCTGCCCTGCAGGGTGTGGTCTTCCACCTCATGCAACCTGCCTGCTTGCCTGCCTCTATGAGCGGCCGTGCCTGGTAGGCAGACAGGTGGGGAGATAGGTGGGAGGGGAGGGGAGGAGATAAGTAGGAGGGAACAATGGTAGGAGAGTGAGAACGAGTGGGGAAAGAAAGGAGCTGCAGGGAGCGGAGAGGGTCAAGCAGCGAATGAGATGTGGTATGGCGAGGTGAGGTGGGGTGAAGCGAGGTGAGGTCAGGTGGTCGACAGGGGGCTGGGCGGGGAGCAGCTCGAGCAACACCACTCCAAATGCAAGCACGTCCGTGCCATTCAATCCTATCCCTACCGCACCAAACCCATGCTCACCCATTGCACAAGGCACTGGAGCCCGCGGGGCCGGGAGTCGTCCACAGGGGGCTGGCCAGTGAGAAGCTCGAGCAGCACCACTCCGAATGCAAACACGTCCGTTCGCGTGCTCGCTGCCCCGTGGGACAGGTACTCCGGGGCCAGATAGCTGTTGCGGGCAAGGGTGGGGCAGAGGGGTGGAGGAGAGGGGAGGGCGGAAGGGAGGGGAGAAGAGGAGGGGCGGAGAGGAGGGGTGGAGAGGAAGGGTGGGGAAATGATCCCATGAAGACTCTGAAGCAGTTGATAGGAGGTGTTTTCTACAGCGGATAAGAGGCTGCCCACGAGCACGGAGACTGGTGGACACGCCAGGAGCACAGTCACAATCACAATCAACACAATCACAGCCGCTACAAGAACAAGCTTATTCTGGCCCCCACATGATCACCCCCCATTTGAAACACGACGCTTCCACACACAGACACACACACACACACACACACACACACACACACACACACACACACACACACACACACACACACACACACACACACACACACACACACACACACACACACACACACACACACACACACACACACACACACACACACACACACTCATCCAATCACATCCCCCGTACGGAACTCACCCGAAGGTGCCTGCGAGCGGCACTTGCATGGGCGCATCATTGGGAGCAGCAAAAAGAGCCAATCCGAATTCCGATAGCTGGTGGAGGGGAGAGAAGGGAGGGCAAGGCGCAGGGGCGAGGGGCGAGGGGCGAGGGTATCAGGATGGGGAGCGGACGAGGAGTTTGTGGCACTTGCATGGGCGCATCATTGGGAGCAGCAAAAAGAGCCAATCCGAATTCCGATAGCTGGTGGGGCACGAGGGTCACGAGAGGCGAGAGGGAGGGGCAAGGGGCGAGAGGTGAGGGGTGGAGGGTAAGAGGTGAGGGGTGAGTTCTATGAAGGGGCAACAGACTTCCCCCTGCCCTTTCTGAGAGGGTTGGGAAACGTGGTGGAGTGGTGGACTGGGAAAGAGAAGGGGGATGGGGATGGATGCGGATGGATAAGGATGGATGGGGATAGATGGGGATGGATGGGGATGGATGGGGATGGATGGGGATGGACGGGGATGGATGGGGATGGATGGGGATGGCTGGGATGGGGATGGATGGGGATGGCTTGGATGGGGATGGATGGGGGGATGTGTGTGTGGTTATGAGGGAATCATGGGAGGAATGAAGAAGGGTATGTGGAAGAGACTCACCTTCACCTGGTCACCCCTCGTTAGCATCACACTCGCCGCCCGCACGTTGCGATGCACCACTGCCCTGGGCGCCCCCTCGTGCAAGTAGTGCAGCGCCAGTGCCAGCTGGCGCGCTACCATTGGCCGCACGGACCAGGCGAGAGGGCCTGTGGAGAGTTGTAGGGAAGAGGATTGATGGGAGGTGGCGGCGAGAGAGAAGCACGGGGTGCGCGTGGGGAAGAGAAGCACACATACCGCGTGGGGAAGAGAAGCACACATACCGCGTGGGGAAGAGAAGCACACATACCGCGTGGGGAAGAGAAGCACACATACCGCGTGGGGAAGAGAAGCACACATACCGCGTGGGGAAGAGAAGCACACATACCGCGTGGGGAAGAGAAGCACACATACCGCGTGGGGAAGAGAAGCACACATACCGCGTGGGGAAGAGAAGCACACATACCGCGTGGGGAAGAGAAGCACACATACCGCGTGGGGAAGAGAAGCACACATACCGCGTGGGGAAGAGAAGCACACATACCGCGTGGGGAAGAGAAGCACACATACCGCGTGGGGAAGAGAAGCACACATACCGCGTGGGGAAGAGAAGCACACATACCGCGTGGGGAAGAGAAGCACACATACCGCGTGGGGAAGAGAAGCACACATACCGCGTGGGGAAGAGAAGCACACATACCGCGTGGGGAAGAGAAGCACACATACCGCGTGGGGAAGAGAAGCACACATACCGCGTGGGGAAGAGAAGCACACATACCGCGTGGGGAAGAGAAGCACACATACCGCGTGGGGAAGAGAAGCACACATACCGCGTGGGGAAGAGAAGCACACATACCGCGTGGGGAAGAGAAGCACACATACCGCGTGGGGAAGAGAAGCACACATACCGCGTGGGGAAGAGAAGCACACATACCGCGTGGGGAAGAGAAGCACACATACCGCGTGGGGAAGAGAAGCACACATACCGCGTGGGGAAGAGAAGCACACATACCGCGTGGGGAAGAGAAGCACACATACCGCGTGGGGAAGAGAAGCACACATACCGCGTGGGGAAGAGAAGCACACATACCGCGTGGGGAAGAGAAGCACACATACCGCGTGGGGAAGAGAAGCACACATACCGCGTGGGGAAGAGAAGCACACATACCGCGTGGGGAAGAGAAGCACACATACCGCGTGGGGAAGAGAAGCACACATACCGCGTGGGGAAGAGAAGCACACATACCGCGTGGGGAAGAGAAGCACACATACCGCGTGGGGAAGAGAAGCACACATACCGCGTGGGGAAGAGAAGCACACATACCGCGTGGGGAAGAGAAGCACACATACCGCGTGGGGAAGAGAAGCACACATACCGCGTGGGGAAGAGAAGCACACATACCGCGTGGGGAAGAGAAGCACACATACCGCGTGGGGAAGAGAAGCACACATACCGCGTGGGGAAGAGAAGCACACATACCGCGTGGGGAAGAGAAGCACACATACCGCGTGGGGAAGAGAAGCACACATACCGCGTGGGGAAGAGAAGCACACATACCGCGTGGGGAAGAGAAGCACACATACCGCGTGGGGAAGAGAAGCACACATACCGCGTGGGGAAGAGAAGCACACATACCGCGTGGGGAAGAGAAGCACACATACCGCGTGGGGAAGAGAAGCACACATACCGCGTGGGGAAGAGAAGCACACATACCGCGTGGGGAAGAGAAGCACACATACCGCGTGGGGAAGAGAAGCACACATACCGCGTGGGGAAGAGAAGCACACATACCGCGTGGGGAAGAGAAGCACACATACCGCGTGGGGAAGAGAAGCACACATACCGCGTGGGGAAGAGAAGCACACATACCGCGTGGGGAAGAGAAGCACACATACCGCGTGGGGAAGAGAAGCACACATACCGCGTGGGGAAGAGAAGCACACATACCGCGTGGGGAAGAGAAGCACACATACCGCGTGGGGAAGAGAAGCACACATACCGCGTGGGGAAGAGAAGCACACATACCGCGTGGGGAAGAGAAGCACACATACCGCGTGGGGAAGAGAAGCACACATACCGCGTGGGGAAGAGAAGCACACATACCGCGTGGGGAAGAGAAGCACACATACCGCGTGGGGAAGAGAAGCACACATACCGCGTGGGGAAGAGAAGCACACATACCGCGTGGGGAAGAGAAGCACACATACCGCGTGGGGAAGAGAAGCACACATACCGCGTGGGGAAGAGAAGCACACATACCGCGTGGGGAAGAGAAGCACACATACCGCGTGGGGAAGAGAAGCACACATACCGCGTGGGGAAGAGAAGCACACATACCGCGTGGGGAAGAGAAGCACACATACCGCGTGGGGAAGAGAAGCACACATACCGCGTGGGGAAGAGAAGCACACATACCGCGTGGGGAAGAGAAGCACACATACCGCGTGGGGAAGAGAAGCACACATACCGCGTGGGGAAGAGAAGCACACATACCGCGTGGGGAAGAGAAGCACACATACCGCGTGGGGAAGAGAAGCACACATACCGCGTGGGGAAGAGAAGCACACATACCGCGTGGGGAAGAGAAGCACACATACCGCGTGGGGAAGAGAAGCACACATACCGCGTGGGGAAGAGAAGCACACATACCGCGTGGGGAAGAGAAGCACACATACCGCGTGGGGAAGAGAAGCACACATACCGCGTGGGGAAGAGAAGCACACATACCGCGTGGGGAAGAGAAGCACACATACCGCGTGGGGAAGAGAAGCACACATACCGCGTGGGGAAGAGAAGCACACATACCCGTGGGGAAGAGAAGCACACATACCGCGTGGGGAAGAGAAGCACACATACCGCGTGGGGAAGAGAAGCACACATACCGCGTGGGGAAGAGAAGCACACATACCGCGTGGGGAAGAGAAGCACACATACCGCGTGGGGAAGAGAAGCACACATACCGCGTGGGGAAGAGAAGCACACATACCGCGTGGGGAAGAGAAGCACACATACCGCGTGGGGAAGAGAAGCACACATACCGCGTGGGGAAGAGAAGCACACATACCGCGTGGGGAAGAGAAGCACACATACCGCGTGGGGAAGAGAAGCACACATACCGCGTGGGGAAGAGAAGCACACATACCGCGTGGGGAAGAGAAGCACACATACCGCGTGGGGAAGAGAAGCACACATACCGCGTGGGGAAGAGAAGCACACATACCGCGTGGGGAAGAGAAGCACACATACCGCGTGGGGAAGAGAAGCACACATACCGCGTGGGGAAGAGAAGCACACATACCGCGTGGGGAAGAGAAGCACACATACCGCGTGGGGAAGAGAAGCACACATACCGCGTGGGGAAGAGAAGCACACATACCGCGTGGGGAAGAGAAGCACACATACCGCGTGGGGAAGAGAAGCACACATACCGCGTGGGGAAGAGAAGCACACATACCGCGTGGGGAAGAGAAGCACACATACCGCGTGGGGAAGAGAAGCACACATACCGCGTGGGGAAGAGAAGCACACATACCGCGTGGGGAAGAGAAGCACACATACCGCGTGGGGAAGAGAAGCACACATACCGCGTGGGGAAGAGAAGCACACATACCGCGTGGGGAAGAGAAGCACACATACCGCGTGGGGAAGAGAAGCACACATACCGCGTGGGGAAGAGAAGCACACATACCGCGTGGGGAAGAGAAGCACACATACCGCGTGGGGAAGAGAAGCACACATACCGCGTGGGGAAGAGAAGCACACATACCGCGTGGGGAAGAGAAGCACACATACCGCGTGGGGAAGAGAAGCACACATACCGCGTGGGGAAGAGAAGCACACATACCGCGTGGGGAAGAGAAGCACACATACCGCGTGGGGAAGAGAAGCACACATACCGCGTGGGGAAGAGAAGCACACATACCGCGTGGGGAAGAGAAGCACACATACCGCGTGGGGAAGAGAAGCACACATACCGCGTGGGGAAGAGAAGCACACATACCGCGTGGGGAAGAGAAGCACACATACCGCGTGGGGAAGAGAAGCACACATACCGCGTGGGGAAGAGAAGCACACATACCGCGTGGGGAAGAGAAGCACACATACCGCGTGGGGAAGAGAAGCACACATACCGCGTGGGGAAGAGAAGCACACATACCGCGTGGGGAAGAGAAGCACACATACCGCGTGGGGAAGAGAAGCACACATACCGCGTGGGGAAGAGAAGCACACATACCGCGTGGGGAAGAGAAGCACACATACCGCGTGGGGAAGAGAAGCACACATACCGCGTGGGGAAGAGAAGCACACATACCGCGTGGGGAAGAGAAGCACACATACCGCGTGGGGAAGAGAAGCACACATACCGCGTGGGGAAGAGAAGCACACATACCGCGTGGGGAAGAGAAACACGGGGTGCGCGTGGGGAAGAGAAGCATGGGGTGCGCGTGGGGAAGAGAAGCAAGGGGTGCGCGTGGGGAAGAGAAGCAAGGGGTGCGCGTGGGGAAGAGAAGCAAGGGGTGCGCGTGGGGAAGAGAAGCAAGGGGTGCGCGTGGGGAAGAGAAGCAAGGGGTGCGCGTGGGGAAGAGAAGCAAGGGGTGCGCGTGGGGAAGAGAAGCAAGGGGTGAGCGTGGGGAAGAGAAGCAAGGGGTGCGCGTGGGGAAGAGAAGCAAGGGGTGAGCGTGGGGAAGAGAAGCAAGGGGTGCGCGTGGGGAAGAGAAGCAAGGGGTGCGCGTGGGGACGAGAAGCAAGGGGTGCGCGTGGGGAAGAGAAGCAAGGGGTGCGCGTGGGGAAGAGAAGCAAGGGGTGAGCGTGGGGAAGAGAAGCAAGGGGTGAGCGTGGGGAAGAGAAGCAAGGGGTGAGCGTGGGGAAGAGAAGCAAGGGGTGAGCGTGGGGAAGAGAAGCAAGGGGTGAGCGTGGGGAAGAGAAGCAAGGGGTGAGCGTGGGGAAGAGAAGCAAGGGGTGCGCGTGGGGACGAGAAGCAAGGGGTGCGCGTGGGGAAGAGAAGCAAGGGGTGCGCGTGGGGAAGAGAAGCAAGGGGTGCGCGTGGGGAAGAGAAGCAAGGGGTGCGCGTGGGGAAGAGAAGCAAGGGGTGCGCGTGGGGAAGAGAAGCAAGGGGTGCGCGTGGGGACGAGAAGCAAGGGGTGAGCGTGGGGAAGAGAAGCAAGGGGTGCGCGTGGGGAAGAGAAGCAAGGGGTGCGCGTGGGGACGAGAAGCAAGGGGTGCGCGTGGGGAAGAGAAGCAAGGGGTGCGCGTGGGGAAGAGAAGCAAGGGGTGAGCGTGGGGAAGAGAAGCAAGGGGTGAGCGTGGGGAAGAGAAGCAAGGGGTGAGCGTGGGGAAGAGAAGCAAGGGGTGAGCGTGGGGAAGAGAAGCAAGGGGTGAGCGTGGGGAAGAGAAGCAAGGGGTGACCGTGGGGAAGAGAAGCAAGGGGTGCGCGTGGGGACGAGAAGCAAGGGGTGCGCGTGGGGAAGAGAAGCAAGGGGTGCGCGTGGGGAAGAGAAGCAAGGGGTGCGCGTGGGGAAGAGAAGCAAGGGGTGCGCGTGGGGAAGAGAAGCAAGGGGTGCGCGTGGGGACGAGAAGCAAGGGGTGCGCGTGGGGAAGAGAAGCAAGGGGTGCGCGTGGGGACACGGGCGGACAGGCGAGCGGGAGTGGAGGCTGGGGTTGGGAGGAAGCAACGGGTGTGACAAACACTGAGAGGGAGCATGAGTGGAAAGGCTAGACGGCCAGCAGGGGCAAGACGAACGGTGCGTACACCATGCGCCTTGTATTACCTAACCAGGGCTCGCAGCAGCCAAGGTGGCAGAGTCCCCCCTGAGAGCAGACTCAAGGCTGCTTCCCTGCATGTGCTGCAACACCAGCACCGCATACATACCCGGGTTAGCAGACCGAGAGTTTCCAGAGTCCCCTCTGAGTGCAGTGTCGAGAGTGCCCCCCTCCATGTGCTCCAACACCAATGCCACCTCGTCTCTCCTCTCCGCACACACCCCCACCAGCTGTGCCACGTGGCGGTGACTCAGCGTCGCCAGCACTGCCAGCTCAGCCGCCACCTCGCTACTCAGCCCGCGCTCCGCAGCCAATGGCACGCTGCCTCGTGGGCTGCCCCCTTGCCTCGCACCATAACCAGCAATAACCCCACCAGCACCACCAGCATCAGCAGCGGAGGGGCTGGTGAGCATCTCGCGTCGCACGGCTATCTGCTGCCCTCCAGGCAGCCGCCCCTGATACACCCGGCTGTAGCCCCCGCTCGTTCCCACAAGGTTCCCTGAGCAATTGGTTGATGGAAAAAGGAGGGGCGGATGCGTTGTGAGGGGTTTTGAGGGATCGGTGTGGTTCGATAAGCACATTCTCCTTCTCATGACATCATGTGTGCATACATGCACGCCCTCCTTTCCCACTGCCCCAGACGCATGTACACACGCACACGAGCACACACACATGCACACACGCGCGCGCGCGCACACGCTCGAACACGCGCGCGCGCGCGCGCACACACACACACACACGCACGCACGCACGCACGCACGCACGCACGCACGCACACACACACACACACACACACACACACACACACACACGCATATGCACACGCACTAACACTCAGACATACATGCACGTGCGCACGTGCACACATGCATACACGTGAACCCCCCCCCCCCCCCCCCCCCCCAACACACACACACACACGACGTCCCTACCCCACACACAGTCGCAAAAATCACCATCACCACATCACCCATCCCCTTCCCCTCCCCTCCTCCGCACTCACGAGTGGCGAACCCATCAGTCGCCTGCTCCACCTCGCGCCACCGCAGCTTCCTCCACGGCCCCTCCCACACCCCCGCTGCGCCCACGCCCACCACCCCATGCTCCTCTTGCCCACTACCCGCTGCTGCCGCCCCTGCTGCCGCCCCTGCTGCCACTCGTGCTGCCACTGCCCCTGCAGCTGCGTGCCTGGCGCCCTGAGTGAAGGAGTTGCTTCTTCGCACGCCAGGGGACGGCGACGCCATGAATGCGTGTGCAGCAACGCCGCCGCCACCACCACTGCTGCTCCTGCCCAGCCCTGCACCACCCCATGCTTCACCTCCCAGCGCGCCTTCTTCCCCTCCCATTGCTCCTCTCTGCGGCATGACAGGCATGGCGGGCATGGTGGGAACGCCCCTCCGGCTGTTTCTGCGTGACTCCTCGCCCCCATCGGAGAAGTAGCGGCGAGCCGGCACCAGCGAGCTGCAGCTGCGGCTGAGAGGCAGCGACTGCTGCCGCACACACGGCAAGAGGTCCGTTCCTGCCTCTGTGCTGCTGTCTACCTCCCTGTTACTCCCTGCTTCCCTCCCTCCCTCGCCCTCCCCGTTGCTCGTCTCCTGCACTCTCCCCTCACTCCTCGTCTCACTCCCTCTCGCCTCGCTACTCCTCCTCTCACTCACTCCCTCTTCCGCATCTCCCTCCCTTCCATTGTCCCTCTCGGTTCCCTCCTCCTCATGTTCCCCGTCCACACTCAGCCCTTCAGCACTCTCCCCTTCATCCTCCCTCTGCCTGCTCTTCTCACCAACTGCTGCTGCTCGCACCACAAACCCCCACTCCCTATCCCTTACACTCTCGCCACCCTCCCTCTCACTCCCACCATCAGCCATCAAACACGCAGCAGGCGCACGCATGTCCCTCTCACTCCCACTCCCACTCCCTTCTCTCCTCACTCTCCCCAAATCCCTCTCCCTATCCCTCTCACTCTCACTCTCAGACTCGATTCTCCTCACCCTTTGAGGGTCCCGTGTCTTATTCAGCACTGACAGTCGCCGCCCCGACCCGCCACTCCACCCGCCCACACTGCCGCCCATGCCGCCTCTCTGCCTTGGCCTGTGCACGGGGAACCGACCAACCAGAACAGGACACCTGGCATCCTCCTTCCCCTCCCCTGCCTCCTCCCTCTCTCGCGCCACACCCCCCCCCACCGTTCCATGCCCCTTCCCATCCTTCCCCTTCCTTTCTTGTTCTTGGTTCTCCTGCCCCTTGTCCCCTGCTCCTCTTGCCTCCTCTCCCGCCACTCGACCTGCGGCCTGCATCTGGTTACCACACAGAGGCTCCAAGACTGCCCTTCGCCCGCCCAGCCCCTCCCTCCCTCGTGACATTGCTTCTCTAACTCCTGCTATTCCGGACATTTCAGGTGCTGCTTCAGGTGATTTTTCAGGTACTGCTGGATTAGCGCCAGGTGCTCTGGGAATCAGGGCTGAATCTGAGAAATAGCCGCTGACCGTGCTCTTTCTGATGCTGCCGCTGCTGTTGCTATTGGTTTTGTTTGAAGGGTGGGATTGCTGTGACACGTGGCAGGTTGGTGTTGAGAGGGAGCCGCTGCTGGGGATGTCCGTCCAATGGGAGGACGCCCCCGAACGAGACGAGAACGCGGAGGATGACGTGGCAGCTGACGTGGCAGAGATGTCAGAGCAGAACGACTCGAGAACAGGCTGGGCGGCATCTGACGCGTCTGTACCCTGTATGCCGGGTGCCCTGTACCTGACATCAGACGCGCCTATGGATGACGCGTCCATAGACGGGAAGCTACAGTGGTGCACTGTACCCTGTATCGCATCATCCACTCCATCCGCGTTATTGGCATCCCCACGCTCAGAAGAATCGTCAGAGGAAGAAGAAGAGGAGGATGCAGTTTCCACGTCACAGCGGTTGGCCCAGTCAACGCACTCAACGCTTTCAGCATGGGCAGCGCGGCCAGCAGTGGTAGCAGCAGGAGCACCACTAGCAATGTCAGCTCTTACCATCGCTTCCTCCTGTTGCCCTTGACCCACATAGAAACTCACCTTCCCTTCCCTTCCTCGCAACCCTCCCCTACTCTGCTCAATCATCTGCTGTTGCTGCTGCTGCTGCTGCAGCCTCATCAGCCGCGCGTTCAGCTCGCTCTGCGCACTCTGCTGCCCCTCGCCCCGCCGCCCCTCCCCTTGCCGCGCCACATCTCGTCCCCGGCGCACCTGATCGCGCGCCTTGCGCTCCTCCTCCTCCTCCGCCGCCTCCGCCTCGTGCTCCCACCCCAGCTGCTGCGCCAGGGTAGCCGCCACGGCGCTCCCCCGCACGGCGCTCACACCCGCGAACGAGGCTGACCGCTGCACGCGCATGTGCCTGGGCGTGACTGCCGCCGATTGTGACTCAAACGAGCGTGACCCGTCTCTCAAATGCTGCTGCTGCTGCCCCTGCTGCTGCATCTGCAGCTGCTGCGGCTGTTGTTTGCCTGTGATGGACGATCGCAGCAGCTGCCATTTCGGCGTGTGCTCCGCGCTTCTGCTACCCCCTTGCTCCTGCTGCTGCCTCTGCTCTTGCCGCTGTTGCCCCCCGCCTTGCAGCTGTCCCTGCTGCTGCCTCTGCTGCCCCTGCTGTCGCTGCCCCAACCTGCCGTCGGTAGCAGCAGCGCGGGACGGCGGGTCAAACGAAGGGGGGAAGAAGGGGTTCGCTGCGGTGGCGCGGGGGGAGATGAAGGGGGAGGACTGCGGGTTGCCGGCGCTGGCGCGCGGGGAGGAGGGGCGGGAGGAGCGCGGGGAGGAGGGGAAGAACGGGTTGAAGGCGGAGGAGCGGGGGGACGACGGGCGGGAGGCGCGGGGGGAGGAGGGGCGGGAGGCGGAGAAGGAGGAGGAGAAGAAGGAGGCGTGGGGGGAAGAGGCGCGCGGAGAGCTGCAGACGCTGCGCGCCTTGCCCGGGGCAAATGGCCTGCGGGGTACTGGTAAGGGAAAGAGAGGGGATGCGGGGAGGCGAGACGAGGGGAGAAGAGAGATGAGGGGAGCGATTAAGGAATGGAAGAGGAAAAAGCGAGGGTGTATCGGAAAAAGGGGGGCGTGGGAAGATGAACGAGGAGAGAGGAAGTGATAACAACAAGAGTGTGCGGCGGTAGACGAGCAAGCGGTGTGACAGTAGGAGAGAGCAGGAGAGGGCGGGAGAGGGTGGAATAACAAGGCAGGACAGCTATGGGGGAACGAAGAAGCGAGAGTGCTTACAGGAAACATCCCCCTGCAGCAGCGAGAGCGCGCGCGCGCTGAGCAATGGACGGCTTGGGGGTATGCGCGAAGGGAGTGGAAGAGGGAGCAGCACAGGACAGCTTGCGAGAGAGAGGCGGGGACGTGAGCACTCACAGGAGACGTCCCCCTGCAGCAGCGAGAGCGCGCGCTGAGCGATGGACGGCTTGGGGGTATGCGCGGCTGGGTGCTGGCGCAGGCTCGTGAGCGAGCTCGACCGCGGCAGCTGCGCCAACCTGCGCGCTCCGCCACTCCCCGGCGCCGCTGCTGCCGCCACTGCGCGCTCCTGTGGGCCGCTCGTGCTCATGCTCCCGGCGCTGCCCTCTGTGGCATGGTGGTACGAAAGGGGTCCGCTGCGGCTGATGCCGCTACCCATCACGGGGTGCACCTGGCTGTGGTTCATGCTCAAGCTCCCACCCATGCCACTGCGTGTGGTGGGGTATGGCGACGCTGCTGCACCGCTCATACTTCTGCTGCCGCTGCTGTTGAAGCTGCTGCTGCCGTGGCATGAGTTGGAGGAGCGAGCACAAGACGAGGAGGTGGCGCCTGCAGCCTTCACCTCCCTCTCCCTTCCCTGCTCCCTCTCCCTCTCCCTCTCCCTCACGCTCTCCCTCGCGCCGACCTTCGTCTTCTCACCAGCACCAGCACCGCACTTGGCAGCGCCGCCCTCGTCCCTGTACCCGTCGCGGTCCTTGCTGCTACCGAAGAGGCGCATAAGGGGGATGTAGAGCGGGCGGTGGCCGTTGGGGGTGGCGTCACCCGCTGCTGACGACGCACGTGGAGAGTACGGGCGCAGAGGGGGAATTGGAAGAGGGGGGAATGAAGGAGAAAGAGGGAGAGTGGGCAATGGAGGAGAAGGTGAGAGGGGGTGCGAAGGAGGTGAGGAGGAGGAAACGAGAAGCGAATCTTGAGAATCAGCAAGGGTTGGTGAGTCTATATTTGAGTCACGCAGGTTGGTGAGACAGACGGGAGTTGAGCGGCTGTGAGAGCGAATGCCGCACGCACCAGTCCGCCCGTGTACTCACCTGCTGCTCTGTTCCCCGCGCTCTTCCCCTCCGCCGCGCCCACTCCGCCCTTTCCGCGCTTGGCGAGCGCGAGGCGCCCCCCGCCGACGAAGAGCACCATGCAGGCGGGCGGAAGGCGCTGCTCCAGCGCGCGCGGGGAGAAGCGCCGCCCCATGCTGGAGAAACCGCGGGGAGATGGCGGAAAGGCACGAGCGCACGCATGGCATTTAACGCAGGGAACGGGGGAGGGCGGCAGATTGGATGGGGGGAAGAGGACGTTGCGGGAGGATGGGGAGGTGGAAAGGGGGTGGGAGACAAAGGACGGTAGTGGAGCGGCGAAGGCGGAAGGAAGCGGAGGGAGGCAGTGGTAGCGGTGACTGAGAGCAGCGACTAGAGTGAGAGGGAGTCGGCACCTACCTGCACCCAACGCTCCTCCCACCCGTGCGCCCCTTTCCTTCCCCGTCCTCCGCTAAACCGCCCTGCGCTCAACTCGTGCTCGAACACTTCCTACAGCCCCCTTGCGCTCACCCGTCCTTGTGCACGACGACCCGCGTGGCGCCCAGCAGCCGCGCCTCGTCCGCCACCGCCTGCTCCTCGCTCGCGCCGTGCACCACGCGCACCGACGCCGCCACCTGATGAAGAGTGGGGGGGAGGGGGGGCGGAGAACTATGGTGTGAAAGAGGACAGATTGGCGAGCGGATGTTTTTTAAGAATTCTCAAAAAACTTTTGTATGGAAGAGGACAGAGGGGCGAGCAGCGGAGTCGTCTGGGAGGACAGGGCATACCACCGCCTGCTCCTCGCACGCGCCGCGCACCACGCGCACCGACACCGCCACCTGTGAGGAGGGGAAAGGCGGGGAGGGAAGGGCATGGTATAGAACGGCAGGGAAGGAACCGCCTGCTGCTCGCACCCGCCTCGCACCACGCGCACCGACGCCACCACCTGGTTGACGGAGGATGGGGGAGAAGACGAGGAGGAGGGGAAAGGGAGGGGGAGGGGAAGGGGAGGGGGAGGGGACAGGTGGGGGCGTAGCATCGCCTGCTGCTTCCACGTGCCGTGCACTGATGCCGCTCGTTTTTTGCAGTTTATTGTCAGGAAAAGCTATAACGTGTACGCACCTTCTTCTCGTCGCAGAGCGCCTCGAATCCCCACAGCAGCGCGGAAAATATTTCCAGCTTCCGCCGCTGGTCCTCGCGCATCTCCTCCAGCCGCGGCGGGCGCGCGCCTGGCGAATTGCGCCGTGGGGGAGGCGGGGACGGGGGACAGGGGAAGCGGACACGCGAGGTAAATGCGGAGCGGAAATGAGATGCGGAGAGACGTTTGGCACGTGATGAACTTCCGCCAAGTGAGGGCGGTGCGCGCAGATTGCATGGCCTGTCAAGAACTTGCAGGGTGAGGCGCAAGGGCGTGCAAACGACGACTCCGACATGAGATGGAAGAGAGTCGAGAGTGGATGTGTAGCGCGTACCATCGGTGGGCGGCACGATGACGTGGAGGACGTAGATGACGTCACCCGGCTGGCATCGGCTAATCGTCCATTGGATGAGCCCTCTGCCTTCCTCCGACAGTGTCACGGCCACCACGATGTGGTCCGGCTGCCGCTCGATACAGTCACCCTGTAGCATCGTCCCTGGATAATGTCACAACACTGCACGAAAATAACCAAATCGCCTTACTAAGACCTTCGCCAGCGGCTAGGCGTGCGTGTCGCCGATGAGTGTGTCAGAGCTTGCTGGAATGGCAAATGGGCATCTTAGACATGGGATTACAATACTAGCCTCTTAGTCGGGTCTAACTATATCGAATCCTTAAATTGCATCCTACTTCTGGTGCGCCAGCGAGGCCTTGGCTCACACGCTAGCTAGAAGCTACTAGAGAATGGGGCGTGATATCGCCGTCAATGCGACTAGTAGTCGAGATGTGCGCTTTCTTCTCGACCCATTGGCAGTGCTTGATCCGGTTTATACACACTGATTAGGTTTTGCAAGAGTGTGCATTCGATATGCCGCACGGGTAGGCGTCCCAATCTAGCTCTGTCCCTCTGTGGTCACTCGGGCCAGACGGGTGTCTGTGACTCATCCAGGTATACGCGAGTTCCAAAAGAGAGAGACGGGGAAAGGACGAGAACGGAACGCGAGGAAATCGCACAGCAATACTAGCATCCCCTACGAGAGGCGCCTGGGGCTGGGCAATCGCCACGAGAGGTCGTACAATACCTAAGACTCACTCGCGCCGTCACTGCGACTGCAGCTGTGTCGGTGACTGCAGTCGCCCTAAGCAACATACATCCTCTGCGCTGCGCTAAGGCTCGGGGAGAGCGCTGAGGACAGCGCGAGATAAGGGACAGGAGGCCCACAGATGTGTCGCACTTGAGCTTTCTCGCCGTGGAATTGATGAATCTCATCGGCGGGCTTCCTAGAAACTCTCCTCCCCGCCTGCCTATCTCCACCCCGCTCCACTCCGGTTTGCCCTTGCTCTCTGCCTGAAATCCACGCAGTCTCGGTGGCTAGGTGGGTGGGTGTGCTACTGTACTGTCTTTGCAATCCCGATTCCAAATTCCAATTTCCAGCCGAGGCGCGCGAATAGGCTCTGGCATTGCGGCGGGAATGTGCGCAGCGGGCTTTGAGCTTGTCGCAGGGGGCCTCGGCCAATCGGCGGGGTTGGGCTCAGCGTCACACGCGTTGTCGCCGAGTCGAGCTCAAGTCTCCCGCCCTCTTCGCATACGGCGGGGATGTCAGTCAGCTGCGTCGTACAGCGCGGCGAATTGACCTGGGTCAGACAGCGCGGCGCCACCTGTCGGGCCGAGATGGACTGGTTCAGATGAACATGGCTGTACAGCGCGGGAGTGGACAGCGCGGCGCCACCTGATGCCTGTTTGAGCCCCTCCCGGTTGCCTTATGAAGGGGGCGTTAATGCTGTCACGAGCATTTCGCATAAGTTTCGTCAATTCGCAGCTAGCTAAAAAGGATTCGCATGTGCTTATAAACAAGATCTGTAACCTAGTTTGACTTCAGTCTCTTCTGCTTGACTTCGGTCTGTACCTAGTTTGACTTCGGTCTGTTCGTTACTATTGGTTGATAACCACGCGACGCGCTTGTAATGTAGGTGCATAAGGCTGGGGAAACAACCTCGGGTGCAGCGTATCCATCCGGCGCAAGGCAAATTCGCGTGCATGGGGTGAGCATCAGCTGACAAGTCTGACAGGGCACACGCGGCAAAACGACAAAGCGACATACAGCTACGGCAGCCTGCGCGTCGCGCGCTGCTGCCCGCGCATTGCGCCCTACGGCAGCCCGCGCGTCGCACGCTGCTGGCCCGCGCGTCGCGCCCTACGGCAGCCCGCGCGTCGCGCGCTGCTGCATCCAGCGCGTCGCGCCCTGCTGCCCTGCGCGTCGCGCCCTGCTGCAGCACGCGCGTCGCGCCCTGCTGCCCTGCACAGCGCGCGCCCTGCTACCCGCGCAGCCCAGGCCGAGCCGAGCCGCCCTACCCGACCCGATCTGCCCTGCTGCTTGTGCTACTGCTGCTGGTGGAGGTGCTGCTAGGAGTGCTGGAGGTGCTGCAACCTAGCCTCACCGGGCCGCTCTGCTGCCCTTACTGCTGCTGTCTTCCCTCCGTACGACCCTCCTAGTCGCGCGCCTCCTTGCTTACACGTTATGACTTCACTTCGTAGTAGCGGTGGGAGTGGTGGCGACGGTGGTGGCAGCAGTGGGAGTGGTGGCGGCCGTAGTAGCAGTCGCTGTGGAGCTGTTCAGTGGGGAGGTTCTGGCGGTGGCCAGATGCAGCTGCAGCGGCGCCCGACCCTTACGTCACGGCAGCTTCGTAAGTGGCGTTGTCAGCGTGGGACGTCTCCGAGTCCTGGTCGCTGCCCGTACGTTATTCGCACATGTCCTCGAGCTGGTCAGACCTGTGGGACACCTGGTCACGCACAGTCCCGCTGCTTCGCCTATTTGTCTGACGCCTGGCACGCGCAGTTTGGCGACGAGACTGAGACCCCCCACTGGCTTGAGCTGCTTAGGTCGGGCGTTGATGTCTTTGCTTTAGACTATGACGCCATCCTTACTGCCATGTCTGCTTTGCCTGGTGGTGCTGAGAGTGACTGTTACCTGTGTGTGCAGTACGACCCCGGTATAGAGGTTGCTGCTCTAGGTGCTAGTGAGGCTGCTGCCTTAGGTGCTAGTGAGTCTGCTCCTTCAGGCGTACTGCGCCCGCTGAGGCCTTGCACACCTTCACCCTTGACTCAGGTGCTTCCCGCTGTTTCTTTCGTGACAGTACTGCACTCACACCACTCCCTGCACCTGTTGCAGTGTCTCTGGCTGACCCCTCAGGGGGCCCAGTTCTTGCACGGTCCACCACTGTGCTTCCGTGTCCAGCAGTCCCGTCTGGCTCACTATCAGGTCTCCACTATCACGCTCACGAACTTGGTGAGCAACGCTGCCCTTCAGGATGTCGGGGTTAATACCTTCACCCCTGCTTGGCAGCGTGTGGCGATCTGCACGTGTGCACAGACTGGCCGTCACCTGGCCACGTTCACTCGTCGGCCAGGGTCGAGTCTTTACACACTGACGAGTGTATCTCCTCAGGTCGCTGCTGCCTCCCCTTGTGAGTGTCGCTCCCTGTCGCACCAGACTCTTCTCTGGCACCACCGTCTGGGTCACCCCTCCTTGCCACGTCTACGTGGCATGCACCGTCGCCTCCTTGTGTCTGGTCTTCCCAGGTCTCTCCCTCCCCTCCCTGCCTCGCCTGCGCCGCCCTGCCTTCCTTGCGTCGAGGGGCGGCAGCGCGCCGCTCCTCACTCCTCCTCGTTTCCCCCGACAGAGGCTCCCCTGCAGACCCTCCACCTGGACGTGTGGGGCCCAGCCCGCATTCGTGGACCAGGCGGTGAGCGGTACTTTCTGCTGGTTGTCGACGACTACTCGCGTTACACCATGGTCTTCCCCTTGCGCACCAAGGGTGAGGTCCCTGCTGTCCTGATCCCTTGGATCCGCGCAGTTCGTCTCCAGCTCCGCCGGAGGTTCCGGACGTACCTTCCTGTCCTACGTCTGCACTCTGACAGAGGTGGTGAGTTCACCTCCGACCTCTTGCGGGCCTTCTGTCAGGGGGAGGGCATCGAGCAGTCGTTCACGCTTCCGGGCTCACCGCAGCAAAATGGGGTTGCTGAGCGCCGCATTGGCTTGGTCATGGAGATCGCTCGTACCTCCTTGATCCATGCGGCGGCTCCCCATTTTTTGTGGCCGTTTGCGGTCTGGTATGCCGCGCATGAGCTCAACCTCTTGGCCCATGTCTCCTTGCCAGACACCTCGCCCACACTGCGTTGTGTTAGAAACTACAGGCAGGAATGAATGAACTAGCAGCAGGATGGGTACAAGTATGAAACCCTAATTTGGGTTATACCCCATATGGGCTAAGTGGGGGAGAACAAGAGGTCACAAGACCAGTCAAGAAAAGCAAAGCAAGCTCAGGGTGGATCACAACGTCACCACACACTCTGAGCACAAGCAAAGGGCCACAAGGCCACAACACATGCAGAGGTATATATGAAACAACAACAGATCAGCGATCACTACCTAGCAAGAACAAGCATGCAGGTATATATATATATATAGATCACAGTACAAACAAAGTCTACAGCAAGTGTGGAAACGTAGGCACAAGGCCCAACAAAGTACAAAAGCGCTGATGATCACCAGACGGAAGTGCCTTGGTGAAGATATCAGCAGTGTTGGCCCGAGTGGCCACGTGAGCAAGACGAAGCTGACCACGCTGCTGCAACTCTCGAGCCAGGAAGTAACGCAAAGCGATGTGCTTCATTCTGTGCTCCAGTCTGTGCTCCTGACACAAGGCAATGGCGGCCTTGTTGTCGACGTACAAAACTGGAGGAGAACGAGGCCTCTCTCCCAAGTCGCCCTCAGGTAACAGTCACCCTCAGTACCAATAGTCAAAGCATACATGGCAGTAAGGATAGTGTCATAGTCTAAGGCAAATATATCTACTCCGTCCTGAAGCAGCTCTAGCCAGAGGGGTAGCTCAGCCTCGTTTTCAAACCGTGCTCGCCAAGCGTCGCTCAGACGGGAGAAGCAGCGGGACTCTGTATGACTAACTGTCCCGCAAGTCTGACCAGCTCGATCACCTGTGCGAATGACGTACGGGCAGCGAGCAGTAGTCCTACACCCCCAACTCTGAGCGTACCACTCATGCAGCTGTCGGGGCGTAAGGGTCTCACGCGGGCGCCGTTGCAGCTGCATCTGGCCACCGCCAGAGACTCCGCACTGACCAGCTCCACCACGACTGCTACTACGGCCGCCGCCACCTCTCCGAGACGCACAACGCTGAGCGTACCACGCATGAAGCTGCTGGGGTGGAAGGGTCTCGCTCGGACGCCGCTGCAGCTGGATCTCGCCACCGCCAGAAACTCCGCACTGAACAGCTCCACCGCGACTGCAACTATGGTCGCCGCCACCACTCCCACTGCCGCCACCGCCGCCGCCACCACTCCCACCGCTACTACGAAGGAGAGTCATAGCGGGTAAGCAAGGAGGCGTGCGAGGAGGAGGGCGGTACGGAGGGAAGACAGCAGCACGAGCAGCAGCAACAGCACCAAGAGCAGTAGAGCGGCCCGGTGAGGATA